AATTCTGTAATTCTACTTTGCATTTTCTTATAATTCTTTATAAATGGGTCTGAAATGAAACGTTTGTCATTTCCCCTCAATTTCTTTTGGATAGCCTCTGTACCTGCTTTCCCCTTCTTGGAACACTAAATAACCTTTAAGAGTCTACCTACTAAATTAGCTTGAGTCTCACAATAACTTTGACAAATAATACTGTGGGTGAAAACCTATTACTTAGTAAAGTGACCTAATAAAGGCCACACTGACAAAAGGTTGGGATTAAAGTCTGAGTGTGTCAGGCTCCTAAATCCCTCCACTCCCCATGCTGTTTTTCTATACCAGGCTGTCTTATTACCCCTGGGCAATCTTGTGCATCCCAGGTGTGTTTTTATTTTTCCTGCTTCACCCATCACGTATGTTTTCTGTGACCACCACATAAAGTTTCTTTTCCTCTTCTCTCATTCTTTCTTAAAACTTTTCTGTTCTATTCAACACTAGGTCACCTCTCTGGCTTTATCTGAGAAAAATCTTAGTATTGCCTACTCAGCTCCGGAATCCCCTGGCTGGGATTCCAGAGTTCACTCTGAAGTTTACTGGACTTTTCCTTTTCATAAAAGTTGGTGATAGCCCAGTAATCACAGGAGGCAGTCACATCATTACCCTCTGCATAAGAAACACTTTACCTGACTATGCCACTTTTAAAAGGCTTGAGCATCATCTCAAAGCGGCTCTTTTTAATCTCCAAGATTATTGTTCCTAAACACGTTGCTCTTCCAGTAATCCTCTTCCATTTTTGCTCTGAAAACATTTTCTGAAGAGCACAGTCTCACCAAATACTGAAAGCTGTTACCTTTGTCTAGGAATTAAATTCATTTATACTCAGATTAAAATTGTATAGTGGTCTTCAACACAGTTCACTGCTTGGTCAGCTGTTCTCACTTCCTCCAAACAGATGTTGGAAGAAACTTTTTTAAAAGCCAAATTGCCCTTTCTCTTAAACTATCTGAAGGCTGTTTCCTCTCCACTTCTCCAGACTATGTGGACATAACAATGATATTTAATAATCTTCCTCTAATTTCCCATCTTCATGGAAACCTTTTGTTCATTATCCTGTTCAAGCTTTCAGCTTAATATAGCACTTGACTTCAAACGCCCTGTTTGTAGCTGACAGCATGTGCCACTAACTGTTTACAAAATGAAACTATTGACTCTGCACATCTAATTTTTTAGTTCATTCTGTTAGTAGTCTTCCTGAGCCTGAATCTTACTCACCCTCTACTTCCTGGGTTATATACACAAATAATTAAGAAATGCTGGCTTTTTCTCCTTCACTTTTTCTTTCCTTCATGCACCATTCATACAGGTAAAGAATGTGCTGCCGGGTGTGGTGACTGGCACCTTTAATTCCAGCACTTTGAGAGGCCAAGGTGGGAGGATCGCTTGAGCCCAGGAGTTTGAGACCAGCCTGGGCAACATAGCAAAATTCTGTCTCTACTAAAAAATACAGAAATTAGCCGGGTGTGGTGGAACACACCTTTAATCCCAGCTACTCGGGAGGCTGAGGTAGGAGGATTACCTGAGCCCAGGGAGGTCAAGGCTGCAGCGAGCCTGCGATCATGCCACTGCACTCCAGCCTGGATGAGAGTGAAACCCTGTCTCGAAAAGAAAAAAAAAAAAGCATTATCTCCCTTTCTAATGGGTAGAGCAAGAACTGCAACCAGGATTTAATGTCCTTTATCCTAGAATATTTTATTGTGCTGAACCCAGAGGATGGTCACAAGTAATAAAATGGGCCAAGATGGTATGTCCTACTCTTTAGCACAGGAAAAAAAAGGCAAATAGTGCACGAGGCTACACTGGTCAAGCTCTCTACAGAGGTAACTAAAATAAAAATAACCTGTTTACCATCCTTCAATTGTAAATACATATTTCTATTAAATTATTTTCAAATCACACAGCAGGAAAACAATGCTTTTTCTTTTTGTTAAAATGGGCTTTGGCTTGCCACATGTAAATATTTACGCAGTCAACGGATTTGACTATTCTGAGCCAAATTACGTCCCTTTTGTTTTCAGAGATATGGCCACATTAATTCATATTTATGTACACATATAAAAATTGTTCTAATTTAAGAGGTACTGAACCATATGTACGCCTAACAATTCCATTTACTCAGTTAGCACGTTAAGTACCACTCCATGTTGCTTTGCTGATAGAGTAATGATTTATAATTCAGCAAAAGTCAAGATTTTACTGACTTAACGTTCTACAAAATCCAAGTAGAAAAACCAATGGTAAGATAACGTAAAATATTAATAACCAAACTATAAAGGAGGGACCCTATAACCTAGAACTACAATTTATGTAGTTGTTTCCAAAATATTTTTCACAAATACCATCTTTTAGTCCCAATCTAGCTCAGCTATTAAAAATTTCTATTATGTAAATGAGCCAATAGTTTGTCTATATCTGACACTAATGCTGTACCAATTTAGGCTCCTCTGTCATGCAGGCTTGAGTGCAGCGGTGCGATCTCGCTCACTCCAACCTCTACCTCCAGGGTTCAAGCAATTCTCGTGCCTCAGCCTCCCACGTAGCTGGGATGACAGGTGTGCACTACTACACCTGGCTACTTTATTTAGTAAAGACAGGTTTCACCATGTTGGCCAGGCTGGTCTCAAACTCCTGGCTTCAAGTGGTCCTCCTGCCTCAGCCTCCCAGAGTGCTGGAACTACAAGCATGAGCCACCACACTGGCTACCAATTTAGGCTTTCCAACTATACTACTATACTAGTTGCATAGACCTCAATCTTTTTTTTTTTTTTGAGTCTTGCTCTGTCACCAGGCTGGAGTGCAGTGGCGTGATCTCAGCTTACTGCAACCTCTACCTCCTGTGTTCAAGCAATTCTTGTGCCTCAGCCTCCTAACTGGAATTACAGGTGTGCGTGCACCACCATACCTGGCTAATTTTTTGTATTTTTAGTAGAAATGGGGTTTTACCATGTTGCCCAGGCTGGCCTCAAGCTCCTGGCTTCAAGTGATCTGCCTGCCTCAGCTTCCCAAAGTGCGGGGATAACAGGTGTAAGCCACCACACCTGGCCTTGGACCTCAATCTTCTAAGGCTCAATTATTTTACCTAAAAAACTGTGGGTCTAGAACTGAACTCCTTCTGCATGCAACTGAATGATCCCAGGCACAGCATCATATTTAAAACTGGAATATTCTATGTAAATTTGGCATCCTATTCCAGCAATTTTAAATCTCAAAGATACTATGATATTCAAATATCATCAACCCCATCTCAGCAGTTTAGGTAACTTTTTATAAATCACAAATGATTTCGTATCAAGAATAAACAATATGTAATTATATGTGATTTTTACCTAAATACTTAGGGAAAATCAATTTTTCCTAACTAAAAAATTCAGTGGTTCTAAAAAAAAAAATACACCAAAGAAAGTTACAGTAATATAACCACACTTGTCTGTTCAGATCATGTTTAAACTGTAAAGATTTCAATGAAGCACACCATCATGGATTCATTTGAACCATGAAAAAACTACAACTAACTTTTAAGATTTCAGTTTCCAACCAAAGGGTTTAATGGTGGCTGCCTATTATTCATGTAATACGTTAATAACACTTTTTTTCTTCAGAGGACTGATTGGCTTTTTTAAAATTTATATATTACAGGAACTTAGTAAGACTAACATTAATAGTGGCATTCTAATTTTTTCATCACCCATGACCTAAGTACATCCAAGATTTAACTTTTATCAGTTACATAACTATCATTCTATTTTTTTAAAAATCGAAGTTTGTAACCAGGTGCAGTGGCTCATGCCTGTAATCCCAGCACTTTGTGAGGCTGAGGTGGGTGGATCACGAGGTCAGGAGTTCGAGACCAGCCTGGCCAAAAAGGCGAAATGCCATCTCCACTAAAAATACAAAAACTTGGGTGTAGCCACACGTGCCTGTAATCTCAGATACTCGGGAGGCTGAGGCAGGAAAATCACTTGAGCCCAGGAAGCAGAAGTTGCAGTGAGCCGAGATCATGCCAATGCACTCCAGCCTGGGTATCTAAAGACTCCGTCTCAAAAAATAAAACAAAACAAAACAAAAATCAAAGTTTGTGTTTCAAATTGAAAAAAGACTTACCTTCCAAATGCCCACCAATGATAGACTGGATAAGGAAAATGTGGCATATACACCATGGAATACACATATACACCATGGAATACTGTGCAGCCATAAAAAAGGATGAGTTCATGTCCTTTGCAGGGGTATGGACGAAGCTGGAAAGCAGCATTATCAGCAAACCGACACAAGAACAGAAAACCTCTCACTTGTAACCTCTCAACTCTCACTCGTTAAGTGGGAGTTAAACAATGAGAACCACGAACACAGGGAGGGGAACATCACACACTGGGGCTTGTCGAGAGATGGGAAGGCTAGGGGCGGGATAGCAGGGGGTGGGAGGATTGGGGAGGGCTAACATTAGGAAAAATACCTAAAGTAGATAATGGGGGAATGGATGCAGCAAACCACCTGGGCACATGTATACCTGTGTTAACAAACTTGCACATTCTGCACATGTACCCCAGAATTTAAAGCATAATAAAAATTAATTTAAAAAATTTATCTTAAAACATTTTAAAAGTCTGCTATATGGAATATATATTGGCTATCAAAAAGTTCAACTAATGACTCACCAATATGAATACTAATTCATTTCATTAAAAAATTTAGAGGTTACTTTGCATTACCCATAATGTTAATGCTAAATGTAGTAGTTTTAAACACTAGAAGTTGCTTAACAGTGAGGGATAAATGGACTTGTTTGAAACCTGTATTTACTGTAAATCGTTCAGTAGTGATATATTACACATATTTTAAAAACACCTTTAAATAGCCTGCTTTCTGTTTAGCATTGAAACACAAAATTAATAAAGTTAGCAGATTTTGATACAATTAGTTATCCGTAGGATAAAAATTTATTCTTTTAAAAAATAATCTTTTAGGTAATGTGCAAGCAGTCTTATGCAGAAATGGGAAAGGTTTTTGCCTCACCAAAGAACATACTACACGAAACACAAATGAAAGAAGAAGAATACTTCAGAATGGAGCAGTCATTAGCGCAAATGAACCATACGGGCTGGTAGAAGGGCAAGTAAAAACTACACGAGGACTTGGATTTCATGGAAATCTCAAGCTGAAAAAATCCATTATCCCAGCACCTCAAACTATTTCTGTCCCTATAGATGACTTATGTCAATTCCTTATCTTAGCTACTAATGGACTTTGGGAAGTTTTGGATAAAGAAGAAGTCACTGCCTTGGCAATGACGACATTTCACGTGTATAAAGAAACATACTGTTCTATCACGCATAACAAATCTTCACCATCAAAAGGGCCTCTGCTTTTTTTCAACAGTGAACCAAACTTTACGAAATCACAAAGTAATATCCACGTATTGTTTCAGTATAAATCTGAATCTAAAGAATGTGTGCCAACTAGAAATTCCAAAGAAAATTTGTCTGATTCAAACTATTCTAAATATTCCATTTATAACCCTGAGAATGTAGAAACATTTCCAGCAGAAACAATTCATCATGAACCTTGCAGTGAAAAAGTAACTGACAGACCAACCAGTGTAAATGGTGTGGCAATAAATGAAAAACAATTAGGCACTAAGAGTTTCTATGAAGATGCAGCTGAGTATGTTAGCCATGAACTTGTAAATGCTGCTTTACTGGCTGGCTCCAGAGACAACATTACAGTTATGGTAATATTTCTCAATGGAAGTATCAGCTTCTGACATAAAAAATAAAGTTCCAGTTATCCAACACACCAAAATATAGTACCATAAAGCAATTCTCCAGTGATCCATATATTAGGATAATTCATCAATACCACACAAATAATTTTATAAACATTGTAAATATAAAAGCAGATATTAGGTTACATAATATCACTTACATACATTAACAGTTTTATGCCAAAAAAAAAAAAAAAGAGAGAGAGAAAAACCAATACTTGCTTTTTATACCACTTTATTCCAACCTGAGCACCTCAATATAAAACTAAACACTGGTGAACCGTTTTCCTAATTCTGCATTATCATAAATGTACAAGTTCTCCTAGCAGTCCAACACTTAAATAGATTAAATCATCTCTGACACATGGTAGCTTTCATATAATGAAAATACCTAAAATAATTAGTGCAATATACTGAACTGATCAAAATAAAATGAACTTTGGAAAAGGTGGCTGCAAGATTGTTACTAACATATTTCAATACTTTATGTTACAAATTGTGGGTACGTTGTTTATTATGATTCTAGCCATGGAGGAACTGATGCCCCTTCCTGCCAAAGGGGGAGAGAGAAATAATTAGCTGTTTTAGTAACTGTACATTTTGTATACTTTTAAGCAACTCTTAAATATTACAGAAAAGTAATACATATATGGAGACTACAATGCAGTACCCTATTTACAGTACAGCTGAACATCGAATTTAAAATCAAGTTTGAATATACATAATTGTTAGTGCATTGACTATATTATGTCAAAAGGGAACAAAAGCCCCCTCCCTGCCCCAAACAACAAAATCTATGTAATGGCCAGCAGTGATTAATTAGAAATCACAGACACCTGGTTTATTTCATTTTTGTTAAAGAATTCATATGTTTGTAAGGAACACTAACCATTAAGATGCATTTATTGTTCTCAAATTCCTAGAACAAGATAGGGTTGCATTTTTTTTTTTTTTTACCCCATTTGAAAAAACAGGACTGGCTATAATTTAGATACCATTAATACTCTTCCCTGCCCCCCGACCCCCACCTTGTATATGTGGGATTATTTTCTTGTGGTTAATTCATTAAAATGTGGAATGTACATTTTAAATACAGGTACCAGGAGAAATGAACATTTGCCTGAATACTACAGCTAAGCATCATAAGTAACTTTAGAATCTTCTTCTAAAAAAAGAATGTTTTTGAAAAGCTCCAATTAGTAAGTTCCAAATTTTTTTTCACAGGTGACTACTGTACCAGTGTGGAGAAATGGGCTGGTTAACTGTGTGGGTCCAGACAGTCATTTATCTATATTTCTAGTGATGGGAAATTATTTCCCCTAACCTTCCAATGAAACAAATGTCCACATAGTTCTCATTTTTCCCTATTGCTGAAACATTAGTGAGAGGGACCCATGCATGTTATTAAAAATTAAGTTCAAAACACTTAAAATAATTCTGTATTAGAAACTTGACTCTATCGTATAAGTCTCTTCTTTTGGAAGTCATAGTGGGCTGGTTAAATGCTCCAATTCCATTGTTATTAACATTTAGGAAGCAGAAGACTATTCCAGCTAGTTCAAACTAGAGGTTTAGTTACTACAACACTGACTCCTGGTTGGTTGTGTGGGTTCGGTAAGGTCTACTCCTCTTCCTCTGGCGGAATTTGCTCCTGGATTTTGTGGTTCATTCTTTGGCAATTTTTTAGCTGAGAGAAAATGATCAAATAAATAGAATTAGAATATACATATTAATATTAGTTTCATCTGTTTATTTATCATCTTTCTTTCCAGTTAGATTACCCCCAAAGTATCACATAACTATATGTTCATTCTCTTCAAATGTTAAAATTATCTATTAAATGCCAAAACACTGACTGCTGTCTTAGGGAGTTTGATCTCTGGGGTAATAGTGTTGAGAGAAGGGTAGACAGGAACTGGTTACGGATACAATTAAAACTTAAGGCTGACTAATGCTTTATATAATTCTCTATACAGATTCACTTAATAGCAGAAAAGTTGTATTTTATACTCATTATTACTTTTTTTTTTTCTCAGACAGTCTTGCTTTGTCACCTAGGCTCACCTAGGCTGGAGTGCAATGACGCAATCTCAGCTCACTGCAACCTCCACCTCCTGGCTTCAACCAATTCTCGTGCCTTGGCCTCCCGAGTAGGTGGCGTTACAGGCATGTGTCACCATGCCAGGCTAATTTTGGTTTTTCAGTAGAGACAGGATTTCACCATGTTGCCCACGCTGATCTTGAACTCCTGACCCCAAGTGATCCACCTGCCTTCAGCCTCCTATAGTATAGGGATTACAGGCATGAGCCACGGCACCCAGCCTCATTATTACTTCTATTAAAAAAATCTAAGTCAATAAAGATGATGGCCAGCAAGTTCATAAAGAAGCTCAGCTCATATTAGCATTCTCTAAGGCTGCCACAAACACTTTTTAGACCAAGTCAGGAGAGAAAAAAATACCATCGCAATCATCACCTCAACAAAACTTGTCCTCTATTGTGCAACTAATTATCACCCTGAATTATGACAGATCATATCTACTATTTCCTTCCTGGCTTCTCTGGCCTTAAAACATCTACATACATTTTCTCCCTCTCTCTCTTTTTTTTTTTGAGACGGAGTTTCGCTCTTGTTACCCAGGCTGGAGTGCAATGGCGCGATCTCGGCTCACCGCAACCTCTGCCTCCTGGGTTAAGGCAATTCTTCTGCCTCAGCCTCCCGAGTAGCTGGGACTACAGGCACACGCCACCATGCCCAGCTAATTTTTTGTATTTTTAGTGGAGGTGGGGTTTCACCATGTTGACCAGGATGGTCTCAATCTCTTGACTTCGTGATCCACCCGCCTCGGCCTCCCAAAGTGCTGGGATTACAGGCGTGAGCCACTGCGCCTGGCCCTCCCTCTCTTTTTTTAAGAGACAGGGTCTTACTCTGTCACCCAGGATGAAGCGCAGTGGTGCTTCATCATGGCTCACTGCAGCCCTGAGTGTCTCACTTTGTTGCCTAGGCTGGTTTTGAACTCCTGGGCTGAAGCAACCCCTAGCCACTATGCTCGACCTCCTAGTTTTTAAAGGAGAAACTTACACTTTGCAGCGTAACTATCAGCTACCTTGAAATAAAGGGTTTGAAATAGGTAAGTGTTGAATTTCTGAGAACGAACAATTATAATCTACGCCTTGGGCAAAGGAAGGGCAGTAAAACCCAAGTTAGATGCCTGCATGTTTCAAAACTTAGCATACTGGCGGAAATATACTTGACACACAAACATACCTTATTAGCATGCTAGTGGAAATACACTCAGACACAAACATAACCACACATATTCAGACATACTCAACACTTCATTGTGATCTTAGTTTGAGTGTAGCCTGCAGCCATACTTCTTTTCTTTGTGGAGACAAGGTCTCCCTCTGTAGCCAAGCTGGATTGCGGTACAACAATCATAGCTCACTGCAGCCTTGAATCTCTGGCCTCAAAAGATCCACCCACCTCAGCCTCCCAAGTAGCTGAGACTACAAGGTGTATACCACCATGCCTGTTTTTATTTTTTTTATTTTAAGAGACAGGGTCTTGCTCTGTTGTCCAGGCTGGTCTAGAACTCCTGGCCTTGAAGATCATCCCACTGTGGCCTCTCAAAGTATTGGGATTACAGGAGTGAGTCACTACACCCAACCTCATTTTCTCCTTTTATGGGCTGATGAATCCTAATCTGACTCACCAGTAGTTATACCTAATACAAATGGAATGGATCATGAAGACCCCATCTTCAAAAACTATTTCCCAATTTTATTTCAGTCAGATGAGTATGGCTTGTGAAATTCAGAAAACATACTCAACCAGGAGCTATGGCTTTACCTCTGCCAAGCTCTACAGAGCTAGTGGGTATTCTCTAAAGTGTGCTTACCAATGATTAAAAAAAAACTTACCTGCTGGATATATAGCTGCTCCTTGACTTACAATGGGGCTACTTTCTGATATATCCATCCTAAGTTGTATGTTTTTATTTCTTTCTTTCTTTTTTTGAGAAAGAGTCTTGCTCTGTCACCCAGGCTGGAGTACAATGGAACCATCTCAGCTCGTTGGAACCTCTGCCTCCTGGGTTCAAGCAATTTTCCTGTCTCAGCCTCCCAAGTAGCTGGGACTACAGGTGCACACCACCATGCCCAGCTCATTTTTGTATTTTTAATAGAGACAGGGTTTCGACATGTTGGCCAGGCTGGTTTCCTGACCAACTCCTGACATCAGGTGATCTGTCCACTTTGGCCTCCAAAAGTGCTAGGATTCCAGGCGTGAGTCACCATGCCTGGCCTGATTTATGATATTTTAAATTTATGATGGGTTTCTGAATGTAACCCCGAAGTAAGTAGAGAATGTGCTGAATGCGTATCACTTTCGCACCATCAAGTTAAAAAATTGTTAAGTCAAACCATTGTAAAGTTGGAGACTGCTGTAGTTTATTTTAATCCACAGATCCCTGATGTGTTAAAGCTAAATTCATTTTTTGAGGGGAGGTAGAATATTAAAAATGTCTAAGAGTACTGATTGTAAGAGTGGCTGTACATACAGATCTCTATCAATCTTGGGGATGGACTACTACAGTAAGACTCTTAACCTTACCATAGCTTTGACTCAGGTTACACATAAGTTGAATATGCTCTACTTTGAAATCTGATTGCCTAGTTGCACTGTGGACCTTTTATCCTTTATTTGTTCTACACATTCATTTCACATCAGCATCAATCATTTTTAGAATCCTAGATGCTGGGTTGGGCAATGGATCTGGGAGCCAGGAGCACTTAAGTTTGGAAAGAAAGCCTTCAACTGGGCTACTTCTCTAGGACTGGCTCTAGGGCTGGTAGCATAAATGGTATTAATGGTAAATCTCCAATCAAATGTATTTACAAGCAAAGTCCCACAGACATTGAATGCTGGTCCCTGGACACAAAATAGCATTATACATTGTATAATAATAGTAACTAAGGTTCTGGATTGAGCAATCATGTATCCCTTTGGCATGCTTCCTTCCTTAAGTGTTTAAATCAGATGTGAGTGAGATTCAGAGGTTGAAGGAAGTAAATTAGAACGAGAAACTTTTTAGCCCCTGCATTGATTAGAACTGTTATGAATGCACCGTGTGATTTAAGTTACTCATCTATCAAATTATTCCTTCATAACAAAAAAAAAGAAAAATAATTTACTAATCTAGTGAAGGAAATGGAAAGACCATAATTCATTTGCCCATAGGTTTTAAGAAGGGATTCTAATTTCAGAAAAAAACAAAAAACTAAAATATGTAGGCTACTTTCTAACTCAAAAAATGATTTTATTAGCATGTTTGAATAAAAGGTACAAATTAAAGCCCATCTGGTAAACACTGTGAAAAAGGTTTAAAGTTCAGGCTGATTTCAGAGACCTATTATCTCCTTGTTTCCTCTAACTTTTCAGATGTGATTCTAAGTGTAACGTGTCCATTTAAAAATGAATATATTATCACACAATCCTTCACAACTATGCCAGTATTTCCCTAGCAAACTGCAAACTTAAGTTTTTCAGGAAAACGTTTTACATGAGAAACAGGCAAGTTTCTTTTTTAACCATTTCAAATGAAGTACCATTAAACTCTGTCACCTAGTGAAAAATAATAAAAATACTTGCAACTTTTACTGGCTTTTCATTATTCTCTGTTTCAGCTATTAACTATTTATATAAGTTCAATTTATGAATATTTCTTACTTGGGGTTAGGACTGTGAACACCCCAGTTAAGAATTAGTGCTGTAAAATAAAAGTTGGTATGGGATGAGAAGAGTGCTGTGTATATGAAAACTAGAGACAGCAAACTTTGAGAACAACCAAAACAGACCTTTCAGATAGAATCTATACCTTAAAACCAATGGAAAGAGGAAAGGGTCAAAAAACAAAACCAACCTTTATTTTTGTTATAGAAAAAAGGAGGCTTATTACAACTCCAAATTTGTTACCTATAATCAAAAACTGAAACAGCAATTACCATCAGTTAAAAAGTACCTTAAAGCAAAGGCAAGAACATTGTGTAAGATCAAATGACCATCTGAAATAATATGAAGTATGAGTGTTGTTTTGTTTTCCCTTTTTCCCCTTATGCCTCTATGCTCTGAAATCGTCTCCCTTATAATATTTACATTAAAATAATGTGTCAACCTGTATACCTATATGTCATGTTCTTCTGAGTTATACTTACCAACAATTTGATTTTTAAAAAGTATAACCTAATTAAAAAAAACATATTTATCCAATTTTCCCAGTGAAACCTTTGCAAAATCTGTTTCAACTATTAGGTTAAGGTCCAGGCTTAACTTACCTGGAATAAGCTTACCTAAATTGACAATATTACAACCTAACAGGTAATCATCTTTCAAACTTAACAATATTACCAAGAAAGTATTGCTTTGTGGAAGAGACCTAGAAAAGTGGTTTAACCACATACAACCCCCCTGCCCCCAGGAATTTTTTAAACAAGAGACAGTCAAACCAAACAAGCTTCATACTTACTTATACTGATCATTTTTAAAGAGATATTAATCTTACCTATTGCCATGAATATTTCATTTACATTCATTGATGTTTTGGCTGATGTCTCCATGAATAATAAACTATTGTCATCCGCATAGGACTGTGCTTCCTGTTTATAGAACAAAAAATGAGATATATCTCTTGGAAATACACTACACCTGCTTTATATTTGTTACAGAAAAGGAGACTTATTACTACTCCAACCTGATTATCTATAATCATCTATAATCAACAACTGTGTAATAAGTACAACAGTAAGAGTACTGTGCAAAATAATTTTATAATGGATTATTTCTTTTTTTGTCTAAACTTCTGGCATTATCCCACCTTGATTAATCTGTTCTTACATTAAACCTGCTTTCAAATACTGAGTTCCAATACAGAGTATTTTCAAATACAGAGATGGAGGAGAATTATCTTATTCTAAATAAAACTCTCTTTGATCTCAATGGCAATCTTTTTATTTACACTTATTACCTGCAATGAAGACAAAGGGAAACCAAGTATCTAACACTGGCATCAACCACTAAATGACAACCTCATATTTAATTTTCAATGACTTCTACAGCAGCATTACAATCCTGAATATATCATGAATCATTCCTTTGATAATTATATCACTGCCCTACATTTTTGTCATGCTTTTACAGTTTACATATATTATTATTTTTGATCCTCATAGCTGTTGTGAGGGGTAACCAATTATCTTTCCCACTGGACAAAGAAACAACTGAGGTTCCTCTGAACTGTTACGTGACAGGGCCACTTCTGACTGTAACTTAAGTGTTTTCTTTACCACTCTTGTGCTGGGGAGGGAACAATTTTGGAAGGAGTAACGGATGATACTATACCTCACATCATTTTCGTAAGAATTAAATAAAATTACAAGTGTAACATGCTCAGCTTAGTACCTAATGGTGCAAGAATACATGTATTCCATCACTGTCATCAAACAAGAAAACTATTAAATCACTGATATATACATAGTAAGACAACCACCCTTCCAGCAGAGAAGCCAAAGAGCAAAAGAACAGGCGCAGTTTTAAAAGGTCTAAATAGAGGACTTGCTTTGTTTTTAAGTGATTGCACTTGCTCTATTTTGTGGCAGCAAACATTCTGAATTAGCAATCATAAGATACAAACTGAATTTTTTGAGCCTTAAAAAAAATTTTAAAATTATTTTTTAGCTTTTTTACTTTCAACTCTGGATGTAGACTGGCAGAGCCTTTATTTTTGAATGCCTCTTTAAGAACAACCACACAAGTGTGCAGGCATGTATATATGTGGGTACACACATGTTTG